TCATTTGGTCTCTGTCAAAGAACAGTAGTGGTGTGGCTGTTTACACAGACATTTATTTTTTACCTTTAGGAGGCAAGCAAGATGAAGATAGGACAGATACAATTCCGGTTGTTTCAGAATCACAAACACTGGCTCACACAGACACAGACTATGAGATGACACAGGTATGGGAAACAATGCCCATTTCTAACACACACTTTGATGAGCACATTACAATTACATAGTTGTGCTCCATTTTATTTACACCATATGAGTGTGGACAGGTTACATTTCATACAACAAAAAATATATTTGGGAATCTTTAAAACAAAAATATCTCTATCTCTACATGTAGCCAACTAGAAAGAACCTAGAAAACAGGAGAAAAAAAAATGCCAGCACCTTTATTTTTCCCTTCCATAGTGAAAGATTACTCTGCTTTTCACTTAAACATTATCAGCATGAAAGAACAGACATTTCGTCAGACAGACAGACAGAGGAAACCCATTCTCAGAGGGCTGAGCACAGAAGGAAGGAGGGGGGTGGAATTTCAGTTCATCTTCCAGAAAGAACTCTTGCTCATTGCAGTTTGGCATTTCGGTTTCCAGTGTTACCACGTGTGTGAGGAAACCATGAGTTGGCTTAAACTAAAAATCTGTTCAGAGAGACCCATGCCATGTTTGTTACCACTGATTTCCCAGGCATGTTGAAGTGGCTTTTTTTTTCCTGAGGAAATGTGAATGCTGTTGATTAGAAAGAGCTCTGTGTCCTCTGGAGCTGGGAGGGGATGGGGATGAGGCAGGGGGCTGTTTCAATTCTCTTTAGAAGGGCCAGAAACTAGTTCAGTTTACTCCCTCTTAACTACCAAATCCAAAAGGGCTGTTCCTGTGGCAAGTCACCCCAATTCTTGCTGACTCTCCAGATGACTTCCCTTCTTTTAAATCCTAATGAGGTCATTACTTTAGCCCTTGTTTGGTCTTCACCCTCCTGTCCAGCTAAAAAGTGGTAATAGAGTCAATTGTCCATTTGTGTTCATCTAAGGGAATCAAGTGGCACAGAATCATAAACAGCAGATAATAAAAAAATCATTTAATTTTTGAATGTTTTTGTTTTTATATTTGACAAATTCACAACACCACACCAAATAATGAAGCTTTATTGTTATGACCTCCTTCTGGAGGAGCTGGAAAGCTACTGAGCTTTCCTACCCACCCCCTTTCCCCTCTCCCCTTCACTTTCAACTTCTTGCTCTCCTTCCATCTCCTTTGGTGATGAATGGTATCATCCATGCTAGTCTTCAGGACCCAAAGTAGGACTGAGAAGTATTGCCTCTCTTTTGTTAGGTTTGCTGCCCCTCTGGCTCCCACTTTCCCTGGCATAGAAATTATTTAAGGACCCATGATGACCATGAGAGAATGAAGAAAGGCAGAAGGCAAATGAGGCTACTAAATCTTCTCCCCACCCCACCCCCAAAAGGGGAGAGCTTAGAAAAGCTAAAAGCGTAGATATCGGAGGAGAGAAAAAAGCATTTTGAATTGCCAGCTCATGATCTAAGGAATCTTCTACTACACAGGAGGCCCGAGAGACTTAAAACCAAAATAAAGTTGACGTGAACGGAGACTTTGGTGAAGGTTACTGAATCCCTGGCTAAGCCGGAGTCTTGAGATGCTGAATACCTTGAAACATCTAATACAGACAACTATTTAAAAGCCCAAGAGAAGTTACTGAAACCCATGGTCAGCAGAGCGAAGAACATGAGAAGCACAGAAACCTGGTAAGTGTCTCATAGCAAGTCAGAAAGGCCAGGAACCTTCTGCCTCCAGAAAGGACCGAAAGACTGACAGAAAATGGATGTGTCAATCAGTAGAAAAGGCCCAAGAAAAAACTTCAAATGCCCTACTGAGAAGCTTGTAAAAGTTGAGAGCGTAGTAGATGAGTAAGCCCTAAGTAGTGTCTCAGCTGGCCAGCTGGGGACCCCGGAAGGATCCCTCAGATCAAAGATCCCATCAAGGCTATGAACATGCCCTGTTGCATGGGGGTAGCCTGGAATGACAATAGTTGTTTCAAGGTCATTTGAGGGAATAAAGGAAGGTCTCCAGCATTTGGGGTGGACTCCTGGGAACAAATTTATGGGAGGACGAGGATGGACTTCATGCATGGATTTCAATCGGCATTGTTCAAGAGAATGTCCAAATTTGGTAACATCAAAGATCCCTTTGAGTATTTGACAAAGGAAATTCAAACTATCTTTTGTGGAGTAGGTTGTTCACTTTTTAATCTCACAGACCTCCCAAAAACAAAGTTCTAGAAACAAGTTGAATTAATATGGGGTAGATACAAGGGGAAAAGGAAAATCCTTTTCTCCCAATACGAACACGTTATTGGAGGGGGTGGGGCAATATCATACAGCTACAAGTACAATATATATATATAATGATCACCTACCTGAACACCCAATCTTGCCATCTTCCCTAGAGCCTCAAAGAGGTGAGAAATGTTCCCCTACTACTGGCAATGCATTTAGTCCTACTTTCCTCAATCACTAATTCATTTGTTCATTCATTCATTCATTCATACAAACAAACAACAAGCATTAATTAAGTGCCTGCTATGTGCAGGCCAGCCTACTGTATCAGGCTAGAGGAGAGATAATTAAGATGTGGTCCCCTGAAGAAGTTCAAAATTTAGTAACAGTGGATGGGCCTTCTTCCTTCTTACCACTCTATCACCAACCTGTCACATCGAATTTATGCCTGAAATTTCTCCTTTCCACAGTTTTCTCATCCAATTAGAAAATGACTGCCTCTTTGTCCCACTGTTCTGGGAATGGTTAGCTACTTCCCTAAGTTGCTCTTCACCCCCTAAAACAGGAACTTACCCTTAATATGTGTTCACTTTTACTGTCTATTTGTGCGTTTGTCCAAAAATGCTACTGCTTCTGCTTGTTCTCAATTTATTCAATTTGAAATTAGGAAACTTTTACACAGAGAGAAAAGTCATATTTTCTAAATCTTATTTAAAAAAAAAAAGATCTAGGTTAGTCATGGACTATTATAAAGTGCTTAAGGAAGGTTTTTTGTTGGCTTATTTTGTTTTTAAATGGTGCGGATGACAGTCACATTCTCTTTCTTGCCATACATCCATATTTTTTCCTCTTCCTGAACTATCTTCTTCCTTATTTCCCCCTCTCCATCCCAATAGTAAACTCATCTTATACCACCACTTCCACCAACGTGAGTCGGAAAGAAGCTAGGGTTGGGATTGATCGTGGTGAGGTTGAGAAAGAGGAAGGTGTAGGATCTGGCTCCGTAAATACCTACATGTCTTGCAGTTATACTAGACAAAGTTAAGCGAAGATATGTTTTCTGGCCTCGAGTAGCACACAAAGTCCAAAAGAAGATAAATTATTGATGCCTTAAAAGAGAGGCATTTCTCTAATGACATGGGTTTTTGTATTTGTTGAGTGCTTTTCTCCTGACATGTCCATCCTGTGTAACCGACAACAAGAGGTTAAGGGAGCAGAAGAGATCAGAATGGTAGGACAATTAAAAAGGATGGAAGAGAAAAAGGTCAGCCAATTTCCTCCCCCTCCCACATGTTTACCAATCCTGTCCCCACCCCCAAACCATGGCAGGAACAGAGAAAAAAATATACTGCTATAACATATATTTTAAAGCAATACCTTTGGGGGCCTTTGGACTCTCAACTTTTTTTTAATTTGGATGAATCATTTGCATCAGCACTCACTGCATAAAGATCTCTGAGTCGACTTGGACTAGCTTCTTTTGGAAAGATCACTCATCAGAGCAATTAGCTAGTGAATATAAGTGTGAGATAGATTTTCAAATTACCTTCTGCATGAGTTGAAGTTACTTGAACTTGACTATCAAGCCAGGTGCCTGCTTACTGGACACAATTATCTGAACCAGGCATTTGTTGAGAGATACGGCATCTCCCCCTTCTGTTTATTTGTAAGAAGATGCTTTGGTCAAGGGTGTTGTCCTTTTGTCCATGGAGAAGGTGAAAGGGGGCATGGAGGAAGGAAAGGAGAGGAGGTAGAGGGAGGAAGGGAGAAGTTGATGGAAAGCAGAATGAGGGCTGAAGGGAAAGCCAGATGGGTGGGGGACAGCCCCAACCTGCTTCACCTGAGAAAGCCAAAGTGGGGGGGTTGTCTGCTTAGCCTCTTCTTTACCATTAAAGGTGCCCACTCCCCATCCATCCTCCACCACCACCATATGAAGCCTATCAGTTCTAGAATACCCTGTGTATAATACAACCAAATTCTATATAGACTGTTGGTGTGATTTTCATTTACTCCAATACATTCTGTGAGCAATTGATGATCAATTCCAAAAGCATTAGAGTAAAAACAATTGACGTTACTTTTAAACATAAAGGAGAGAGCAGACTAACTATAAATATTGATCTTAAATTAAATATTAAAATTCATCTCACCACTTTCTGCTTTGTTTCCAATTATGTTTTTGTATCTGAGATGTGAAAGCCTGAATTTTGGTAAACTAGTGGAAATTCAAGATGATGCCTACACTATGTGACTGAAGGTATTTTCTGTCCATTGCCTACAGTTGTTTGCTACTAAGGCAGCTAGGGTGACTTACACAAACACTGAATCTCTCCAGAGGTGGCACCAGAATGTGCGCACACGAAGCAGTAATGAATGGAGAGCAGCAAGACACTGAAGTCTCCATAACATGGTCGTAAAATTATTTTTGCAGACTCCCCAAACTTGGAGGAACCTTGACAGATCGCCTCTCCCTATCTATGGGAAGGATTATGCTTTAAGGTTTACAAAGAGCTTTCCCCAAAGATAACTACCTACTCTTCTCTTATAAATCTACCCAAAAAAAGAGATACTATATCAAATCTTATATCTAGAAAGTATGTCCTGATTTTAACCTAAGTCTCTTCTGCTGCACTTTAATCTGTCTCTCTCATTCTGTCCTCAGTGGAATCTGAGAAAAGCTACTCATCATCATTTAAATAATCTCCCTTTATAATAATGAAGACAGTTATCACCGTCCCCCTCAGCCTTCTCTTCTCGATTATAAAGAACCTCAGTTCCCCTTTACAAATTTTATTGACATGTGTGCCAGTGTGGCCGTGGAGCTATGAATCTGCCACTTCTTGGGCCCACCATAGTTGTGGGCAGCGTGTCAGAAGCCCAATCCCTGGAGAAGTCCCACTAGAGCAGCCATCCCAAGTCTGCCACTCTGTTAAAAGGTCCCTAGGCCAGAGAGCTGACCTGCTCACTATCCAAAGAGGAAACCTCATACAATTTTTTTGACTCTGCCCATTATCGTGGTCCAGCATAGCAAAAGAGGCTGTGATCAGAGGCTGATGGGACTCTTCAGCAGCCAAGGAGAAGATTCATGGTGTTCAACTGGTCAGTAGGGAAAGAATTTCAGAAGTGTCCAAAACTGGAATGTTTGATGGTAAGTGGTGGCAACTGCTCTGAGGTCGGTGCAGGAGGAGGAGAAGGAGGAGGAGGAGGAGGAGGAACAGGAGAGAGATGACCAAGAGGCTTTCTTCTGTTTCCTTCCAAGCTTACACTTGGGGACTGGCTGCTGGTATGAGGATGGCTGAATGCCCTCTAAAGCGCACTGGAAATAACTGAACACTTCTGTGTGGCTTTAATATGAATCCAGTTATCTGAATGAGGGGGCCAGGATGAGTCTCTTCATTTCTAAGAAACTTGCTCCCTTCTCTGTCTCCTGGCACGTCCCTGAGATACCTCCCAGGCCATCTCTTCCATCCCAGCAAAGACTCTTAGTTGAAAAGACTGAATAAAAGTATTACCATTAGCCAAAAAAGGGAACACATGATTCATTCCTGCTTTTAACACAATACTTTAAAGATGTCACCAACAGTTTGTATCCTGCTATATTTTAAGTTCATTTTACAAGGAGACTAGTTCTTGGCTAAAAATAACTGTGTGCGTTAAACAGTTCAACAGCTGTCTGGATTTTCCCCTGAAGGAAACCAAATTCTTCATTTCACTCACATTCATTTTAACCCATTCAACGAAAGAATCATCATAGATCTTTAGACTTTTCACACTTTATCCTCAGAATAATGCTATTTGGTAGGCAAGGGATTTTTATCCTTATTTTACTGAGATGTAGAGAAGTTAAGCAACTTGTCCAAAACTACATAGGTACTTGGGGGCAAAGCTGGGATTAGAACCCAGGCCATCTGACCAACCCAGATTATTTCCATTAGAGAGCCAGGGTGGTATCATGTAAAGAACACTGAACTTGGAATAACAAATCCTGGGGTCAAGTGCTAGTTCTAAAATTTACTATCTGTATGACCTTGAGCAAATTACTTGACCTGAACCTCCATTCCCCTGTAAAAGGGGAACAACAGTATTTGCACTATTTATCTCACAGGACTGATGTGAGAATCAAAATGAATATGATCACAGGATCATCGTTTGAGATGGAAAAGATCTTAGAGATCACCAGGCCCATCACAACTCAACAAGCATTTGTTTGAGCACTCATCGGAGGCACTGAGGAGACAATGACAAAATGAAAAATATTTTTTTTCACTCAAGGAGCTTACATTCTACTGGGGAAAGAAGCCATGTAAACAGATGGGGAAACTGGAAGGTCTTAATCTTTTTGATTTGCCCAAGAACACACAGATAATAAGTAGCAGGGCTAGAATTTGAACCCAGGTCCTTTGACTCCAATGTGAAAGTGCTTTGCTAATTATACAGCATTATATAAACGTCAGCTATTATTTCCAATATGACTTCCAGAATCTACACATGCCAATTAACCAGATAATAAAGCTCCCAGACTACTTTGGCTTCAATTATCTGAAAAATGTTTAAAGTGGCTTTGGACTGAATTATTCTCCAAATCTCAGTGTATAGACCTAGCCTTCGTATGAAAACGCCATTCCCTGAGCCCTCTAGTTCCCTTCACTGACCTGGTTAACATTGAGCCATGATAACTACAAATGGAATATACAGAATTTGGTTTCCATAGCAGGAAAAAACAAAAATCGAAGACTTGAAAATCCTCCATTTGCAGTATTTGTAGACAATCTCTTTACTAAGTACAAATCAAATCAAGAATCATACCTATGCTACCCCAAACAGCCACTATTTCAAGCAGTTAAGCAGATTCTGTAATTGCAGCACTGCGACAAAGTCACAAACAGATTTTTGAAATGGAAACCAGACAAAGAGTTATCAAAATCCTAATGGGTAAAATGGCCTTGAATCTCAAAATAAATTAACACAGAATTTGGGAATGTGTGAATGGGAAGCCCAGAAATGAATCTGTGTGTAAAAGCACCTAGTGCTCTGGTATTGTGGGCAGCCCAGGGAGGTGCCATCAGCTAAGACTTTGTTCTCCAAAGCAAAGAAGTATTTTAACTCATACAATTGCAATGAAAACAAAACAAACCAGGTCAGGAATAAGTGAAAAAATTCAGTTCTCTTTACCTCTTTTCCTTGGCACTTCCTGTGTTCATGCTAAGAGCTTTCCAGACAGTAGTTTTAGGCATTTCATCAGAAATATTAATCTCAGAAGGGTCACATCTGAAATCAACCGTTAGGACAATGATTGCTTAGTCCACAAATAAGCAATTATTATCTATCTGTGGCAAAATCCTCAGAGGGGAAAAGACTAGCATCTTTCTGAAAAGTCTGGAGGCCTGATAAGGAAGGAAATTTTAAACTCAAATAGCACATTTTCTTCCCTCAACTGAATGCATTTTGCTAATATCACGTCCCTCATTCACCACCAAGCATCTGGAAGCTTATGTCATCGATGGAGTAAAAAGTAGAAGTTCACTGTTACTGCACGGGGTTGTAGGCAGATTCAGAAGGAGACCCTGGAATATACTCTCAAGAGTTAGGCTGGGAGGTCACTCTACTTTCATGTTGTTTCAGTTCTCAGCAGTCAAGAGAGATCTAGAGCACCATTGCGCCTTCAAACAGATCAGACACAATCCCATGAAAGCAGGTGACTAAATGGAGTTTCTAGGATGATCCTACATCTTCCCTTGGGCAGCCAATTGAATCTGAGGGATTCCCACTTAACCACTAAGGGTTTCAAATCCTGGGTGACTCCTTCAAAGTCTCACAAAACTTACAGTAGATATGTAAGTTCCTTGAAGGCAGAGGATTGTATCATTTTTGTATCTTCAGAAGAAAGCACAGAGCCTAGCAGGTGCTTAATTGAATTTATTGGCTGAACTGAATTTCTCATGCTTCTCCAGTAATTTCACCAAATCCTAGTCAATTCTTAAAGACCCAGCCATAGAACCAAAAAATATTAGAGCTTTAAGGAACCTCAGAAATATAGTCCAATTTATACCTGAACAAGAATCCTCTCCACAATACACCAAAGAAAAGTTCATCTTCAACTAATGCCTCATTGTGACATGGAGGCAGGGGTGTTGCTGGAGGAGCCAGCTCTAACTGGTTTGCATGAGCCAACTGTTAAATTTTCATCAAGTGACCATGTACACCTCAGAAACTGGCAAATGCTACAAAACAAACTTGATTTATTATTTTGTTGATTGTCTAGATTTAAGAAAGTAATGGAGAAAATCTTAATAAAGCAGATCAAACTTAAAAATGTGTCTTGCAAAAATCTTCCTCCCTGGAAAGCTGGCTATTAAACATTTACCAACACGATGCTACATGGAAGTGACCTGGGTCTTCAAAGGCTATGCCAGCAGATGGGCAAGTCCTACCAAAGTGAATCAAAGCCTTCACTTCTGGGCACAGACATGGACTGGGCATCTCTTGGCTAAGGACCAGTCTAGCTGAGTTTGGAGAGGTTGATGCCTAGAAGGTTGGCCAAAAAGTTCTACTAAGATATGGAGGAGCTGTAAACGCACTAGTGGAGAAAGTACCCATAATGATAAAACCACAGGTTTTCCAAGATACTGAAGAAAAGATGACTATGAATCTGCCACTTCTTGCCCAACATGGTGGTGGGCAGCATGTCATAAGACTAACCTCTGGAGGAGTCCCAACAGAACAGCCATCTCAAGCCTGCCATTCCATTAATGGGGTGATATAGAAGATCCCTAGGCCAGGGGACTGACTGACCCGCTCACTGTCCAAAGGAAAAACCTCATACAATGTCCTCCATCACTATAGTCCAACATGGCAGAAGAAGCTACAGTCGGAGAGCTCTTCCTCCCATCCTCTTCTGGGCCATCACCCTTATTCAACTTCCTGCCTAATGCAGAAATCCCCTTTACAACAGCCCCGATTAGGGGTTGTCCACTAATTGAATACTTTGCATGACCAGGAAGTCATACACTGTCTTGTTCCATCATTAGCCAAATTGTTAGAAAGTTCTTTTTGATACTGAGCTAAGATGTTGATATTTGATCTGAGATCTCCCTGTAATGGCCACACCCACTTTTCTGCTTTATGGAGTTTACACCAAGTAAATCTAATCTTTCTTCCTGACGACAGCCCTAAATATCTTAGGGTATCTGTCATGTCCCATTAAAATCTTCTCTTCCCCAGTCCCATTGTTCCTCTTCCTTCTCCCTCCTGCTCCTGGAAATGTATCTGCTTGTGAGAAATTCAAATAGAATGAGAAATAAGATCTCTATAACTAAAATATGGGTGAGTTGAGCTTCCTATTAGTAGATGAGGGGAAAAGTTCCAGTGAAACTCCTAGAAGCTGAAACTAATGAATGAAAATAGGGTATAGGATTCTCCGGACATTTCAGTTATCCAGGCTGTCTCTGCACATTTACCCCAGGAACTAAGACCAAGGTTGTTCAGGCTTGGCTAAGTTCCAACTTCCTTACTCCCACTTTCAAAAGACCATCCTGAGCACGGATATTTTTATATCAAGAAAGGAAAAGGAATTTTCAGGAGAGGGTGGTTGAATCCTTATAGCAGTAGACAGAGGGCCCTCAATGACAAAACTGGGACTAGAATGCTCTCAAAGTCTCCAATTCTTTAAGCTTTAAAATAATCTTACCTGAAATTGTTATTCTTTCCAGGACTACTCAGTAACTTCCTACTCTCCAAAGGAAATTTGTCTGGCCCCATTTCTAACATTTTCTCATCCTCCTGTGGAAAAAGGGGGTGTTATTACTTCTTAGACCCAGCAGTTTCCCATAAGTATGACCATTCCATGGCCATTCCCCAACCAACACAGTCTATATTCCACAACCCATGGGAAAACCTTATCCTTTTATAAAATCATAATTTTGTGCTTCTGTTAATTATATCTGTTAATTATATGATAATTACATCATCTACCTTTGTGAGCCACTTAAGGGAACAGGCCAGATTCTTTTCTCTGTCCTTGGCTACTCATATGGATTATGCTTATCTTTCATCTGTATTTGATATAAAAACTAAATCACTAATTTTATGGTTTAGTATTTATTTTCTACTTTAGACCATTGCTGTCTGCCTCAGACTATAAAAATCTGAAGTGCAGGGACTGGGTCTATTCAGTTATAACCCTGTGCAATCAGATATTTAATATATTATTAGATGATGATGTTTCTGTTTTCAGATTTGATTATAAAACTCTACAATGAAAGACAAGAAGGGACAAAAGTCCTTGATCCAATCTTAGCAAATAACATCTCTGGGAGTTATCCTAGGGCTGGCTTTGGGATTCTGGAAATGAAAACTTTTTGCATGTGGGAATTGTGTCTAGTTGACACAATGATTATGACCTCTTCTTCCTTGGCCTTTTTTTTAGCATCATCTAGCTTCTTCTTCTTGCTTTCAGGCATGAGATCATCTAGCCAGCTCAGTTCTCGTTTAGAGAAACAGAGATCCATGACTTTCCGGACAAAGACCAAGGCCAAAACCTATGGAAGAAAAAGGGATATGTATTAAAGGAGTCAATTTCCATTCCAGACACTACCTTCCTTAAAAAAGTAAAAATCTTTTCTATAGGGCCCACTAAAACAGATCAGAAAATTTTTATTTCTTTAATAGAGAAATATGACACATGAGAATGGAGAGATGGGACTCAACTTGGGAGGGGTATACAGCAAGATTAGAATGACCAAGTACTGCTCAGATTTATTCCCAAAGGTATCATAACAAGAATGGGGGAACTAGGTATAGCTACAGAGGTACCTGCTTCATGGTAGTATTAAGCTCCGGTGGCAGGATGTGACTAAACACAGTCTATTGGTGTTTCCAGTTTAAGGAAATATAATCTAGTTTCTCTCCAAGTTCACTGACCATCTCCCCATCCCATCCATGATCAGTAGCCTTTCTCAAGGCAATGGCTATTTCTTTACCCAGACCCTCCACCATCTCACATGAGACCCAAATGTAAGTCACTGGCAGTTTTGTGACCGAAAATAGCACCCTAGGAAAGTCACAAAGCCCAGATCTAAGCTCAAAGGGAATGGAAAGGAAGAAAAACCAGGAAAGGAGAAAGGAAACCAGTAAAAATTCGAAATGCTACTCTTGGCTGGAGGAAGGGCAGGGAAGAAACTTAATGAATCATTACATTTTCAAGTTGAAAGGGGCTTTAAATGACATCCAAGCTAATCCTCTCGATTTATAGATGGGGAAGCTGAGGCCCAGACAGGTAAATGGCTTGGCTAAGATCATTCAGTGAATATGTTTCCTCAATGTGAGTGTGGGGCGACAGGATCATAGGAGAACTTGGGGGGTCCATCCAATTCAACTCCCTCATTATACAGAAGAGGAAATTGACAATAAAGGAGTTAGGTGACTTGCCCAGGGTCGCAAAGCTAGTAAGAATCAGAAGTAGGATTCTTCTTCCTCTAAGCCCAACATTCTGTCTTAAGGATAGCATCTTAAGGATGAAAAATATTCAAAACAAGCAAATGAAACACTTAATTTTTATCTCCAGAAGCCTCATTTGTACAGCTTTCAAGATACTCAGGCAGTTCTCAGCACTTCTAAAAAAGACAGATCAACTCCTCTGCCACCAAGACCAGGTCTAGGAGAGGGAAGAGAAGAAACTGACAAGAAAAGCCAGACTAACTAAAGAGGCTTCCACACCAAGGATTCCACTCCTTGGCTCCTATCATTGCCATGGTTTTTAGGGGACAGCCTACTTCCCACTCCAACCCCTTCCCCAACTGTCCCAAAGTTCCTTCTGTGAAACTACAACTTTCCCAGTCTCCTTTCCCAAACCTTTATCCCTTTTTCAGAAGGAGGGACAGAAGAGGGTATCACTTCAGTCATCCCACCACCACTGCTCTACCCTGTCCCTTCTTCCTAATGGCTTTAAGAATCTACTGTTACTTTAAGCATTGTAATCACTGTTGATTGCAACAACTTATTTTACGTGATCTTAGATAATTGGAGCTAAGGTTTTTTGCATCAATGTGTATATTACAAACATTTTTCTGTTCCCTCAACCCCTCCAGATCCACTGAAAAGCTTAGGTAACCTCACTAGGTAACTAGTACAGTTAAAGGAAGCCACTCTCCCCCAAGTCTGAAATCAGACAATGCTGTCACTGCTGTAAAGGAAAGGGAAAAAGTTACCATCATTGGAAAGATGATGGCAGCCGGGGATGCCTTAATAGCCCACAGCAAGACAAGACAAGTCAACTGGATGAGGGTGAAAAGGTGCACTTTACGCAGAGGAACATGGCGCAGGTAGATGAAGTCAGGCTGGTGCTTCGCGGGCATCCCAAAGAGCTTCAGGCGATCAAAAAACTGAAAGACAACCATTCCCCAAAGCAACATTAAGGGAGCTTTAGACACCAAGTGGTAACATCTTTCTATCTGTCATTAGAAACCAAATGACATTTTTCTCCTCTGAGGATTTCACTTTAGAACACACTTCAGAGATAATTTCTCATAAAAAGAACAAATGGATGTGACACATTAAAGAAAAAGAGAGAGGTTAAATGACAAGATTGAAACTAACATTTCAAAAAACTGCCTAAGACCACACAGATAGTAACTAATTAAGATGATAGTAATTTCTGTCAGAGCTTGGTCCAATTCATGTTCTGTCAAAGGAAAGAGAAACCAGTGGACAAAACAACAGGAGAGGCTCTTGCAAGCTCTCATTTTACAGATCATCAGTTTAAACCTAAATCGTTTATTCTGAGCCTGGAGCCTCCTCCCTCTGGGCCAATTCTTGCCTTTGCCCCTGTGGCTGGTTGGTAATAAAGGCAGAAGCCATGGTTTGGTGCTGGGGGCATAGAGTACCATCCACATACCTGTAACAGCTCCCTAATCTCTTCCCCAGTGCACTGCATGCTAAAGTCCCCTGAACTCTCCCACCCTGACAGTCTGGCATTAAGGCAAATGGTGTTTCATTTCTGTCCTTGTAGAAAAAGTCTGTTTGACTCTCAGCCTGTCTCAGGAATCTAGGTCTACAGTAGAACAAAGAGATTTAGCCAGGTCTTCCTGGGGTCAAGGGACCCTTGGGAGACCATTCAGAGTAGGCCTTGAGCTATGCAGGAAGGTGGGTTCATTCTACAGGAGGGATCAGGACACCTTGGCAGCCTGTGTACCTCAATTCTTACATTGTTCTACTTGGTTCTTCCCTGTTTTCATGAAATATCTAATGCCACAAGCTCGCCACACCAAGAAACAACTTTTCAAAAACAGCCTTGCACTTTGTTGAGGATTTTTTCCTGATACCAAATATGAGCCCAGACTGAAAAAAAGAATGCAGGAGGAGGGTGAGTGCCCTACTAGACTAGGAGAACTGAGCAGACAATGAAAAAATAATTTCTTTGGAACAAAATGCAAAGTAAATTCCCATACCTGGATTCCTCTAAGTGAAGAAACTCCCATGTAGAGGAAAACTCCATAAAGTACTGGCATTGGAATGAACTAGAGACAAAAGGAGAGAAAGGCATATAATCAAACCTAATATTTTATAACAAAGTCAGTAGTACCATTTTAAAACTGATAGAATGTCTAGGTTAGCTGGTCCCAATTTCACTATTTCTGTTAATAACATTTTTGTCTTCCTCAGTAGGTTCAAGGCTTCCCTCAATATCATCTTGGACTCCTCCTTCTATATAGCTCCCCACAAACCATTACTTGTCAAATCCTACTGATTCTCCTTCTGCCCTCTGGGGCCAGACTGAATAAATTTAATTTCTCTTCCATCTGTCAGCTCTTGGAGTCTTCTCTTTTCCAAGCTAACCATCCCCAGTTCCTCCCATAAGTCCTCAGAAAGCCTGGGTACCACTCCTCTCCCCATCCTGGTCACCTTCTTCAACGTCCTTCCTAAAATATGGCTGCCAGAACTGAACACAAGATAAGTGCTCAGGGCTGACCAGGGCAAAATACAATGGAATTCTCAAATCTCTCTTTCTGGGCACCATAATTCCAAACTTAAGATCACTATGGACGATGGCAGTTGTGTTATTGGCCTGAAAATTTGCTCAAAAGGTTTAAAGTCTGTGCTGATTCTCTTTACCTTATCGGTAACAAATGTTTATTGCATGGCTTTGGGTCAGTTTGTATACTTATATATCTGTGTCATGGAACTAGCTTCACTCAGTGATCTTACCACCAGAGACAAGGGAGGGCATGGACAGCTACTCCTATCCTACTGCCTCCCTTTTTTTTTTAAACAAGGCCAAGCTTTATTTGGGATTCCTTTATATGACATCACTACTCTACCAAAGTGGAATATTTGCTGTCTTCATTTATATGCAGTGGTTTTTTCTAGCCATGTTTTTCTTTTCTTTTTATATATTTTATTTATTTTTATATTTTTTATTATATATTTATATATTTTATATTATTTTATTTATTTCATTAAATATTTCCCAATTACATTAAAACATTTTTAACACTCATTTTTAAAAATTTAAATTCCAAACTCTCCCTCCCACCTGCTCCACCTCTGCCCCTTGAAGAGACAAGCAATATGATATCGATTATGCATGTGAAGTCATACAAAATATATTTCCCTATTAGCCACGTTACTGCCTCCCACTTTTAGCAGCTTCTTGTAGAAGGCCAATTAGGGAGGATTTCACCTTGAAACAGTGACAGAGTACCCAATCCAAGGTTATAAGCTTTGCTGTATTCCTCCATTCTGTAGCTATAAGCCTCACAGCTTAGTGAATATCCTTCTACCTAGTCCTTGAGGTGCATAAAAATCTTTCTTCTAAGAAGAAGTCTTGGAGTCACTGAGCATCTGGGGTGTTGGTCCAGAATGCCCAGGAGGTGTTGATCTCATTTAGTGCGATCTGCCAAGCCCTCTGCTGGATTCAGAAGTTTATGGTGTGGGCCCATGCACAACTTGTAGTATTGCCTGCATCTGGGGCTGCTCAATGATTGCTGTTTCTCTTAATGCCCTGCAAGAAGCCCATTTCCTTCTACAACCTTAAGTCTTTCTCATGTGGGCGCTTATTATACTTCTCAATTCTAACAGCCTCGGACTGGCTTGTCCATGAAGCCAACAGAGCTCCCATAAGCTTTGTTGGTTGCCATGTTGTCTCATGTGGAGTTTGTGTTCCACTAAAACTCCCAGGTTGTTTTTCCATGAATTGCACCTCTCTCCATCCTGCACTTAGGCAGTTTGATTTTGTTTTTGTTTTTGTTTTTGTTTTTGTTTTTGTCTTTTTAAGTCAAGTTTAGAATATTACATTTATCCCTATTATATTTCACTTTATATTAGATTCAGCCCTTCATTCTAGCTATTGAAATCTTTTTGGATCCTGCCTTTGTCATCTCATCTATTAGCTATCCTTCCCAGCTTCACACCATCTGAAAACGTGATAGATGCTTGTCTAGGTCTTAATCCAAGTCATTGACAAAAACACTGAAAGGAAATAGGAAGTAAAGAGGAAGGGGCTGGGGTTGGGAAGGTCCTGGGGGAGGAGGCAAGGGAAAGGAGGAAGTACTTTGGCCAGTGCTAGACTGGTCCTGGTCTAGGCAATAAAAGGCAAATGTCACCATGTTTCTACCCCTACAAGTAGGATAGACTTTCTCTGGTTACCTTTAACACAGCTGTCATGAAGACTGAGCAGCCCATCAGCACAAAGATCATGAGCCCTGTGACTCTCTGCTCTCTGATCCCCAGGAATTTGGGCTGCTCCCCTGGAGCAGAGCACTCTGACTCCAGCTTGAGGCTATTGACATGAGTAATGGAGAGGACAGTGGCTGCCACAAACCAGGGCAAGCCCATGATGGAGCAAACTCCCAGCATCACAGCCACCATCAGCAAGTCAAGGTGGTATCCACATCCTTTCTGTGAGAAAACAGAATCCCCAGTTAGCAGAAGCAATCACTGCAGTGACATCATCTGACATTAGAGTCATCCTCACTACAATATGAGTAGGATTAGGGTGCAAGATCCAAGTTTAAACAGGGCCTAACGATAAGAAAGCCTTGGTCCAAGGTTCCCAGAGTAAAGCCGTTTTAATGGTTCCCTTTTCTAGTCTGCAACAAATATGGAAGGATCCAAATCATAGCTGGACCTGGGTTCAAATCCAGAGTCTGCTACTTCCTACACATTTGACTATGGGCAAGTCATATAACTGCCCTGAGCCTGTAAAATAAAGACTTTGAACTAGAAATGATCACAGCATCAGGCAGAACTTTCAGGGGCCAGAAACATATTACTATGTTTCTATCATCACAGGACATGAAGTCAGACCTCCTGACTCCACATCCAGATTGTCAAAGCCTTTCGCCTACATTTGGCCTTTTCTCTATACACTCACTCTTTGGCATCTCACTTTGTTCTTTGTGTTTCCAGAGGACAGATGCATTAGGTAGGAAAACTAATACTAACAGCTAAGCCAGAAATAAATGGCAGGAACTGTGCCCATCACACAGGGTAGAAGAGGCAACATGGCTTTTGGTAGAGCAGAGAGAATTGACCTCAGAGCCAGAAGACTTCGATTCAAGTTCCATCTCTGACTCCTCCTGGCTGTGTGACTGCAGGCAAGTCATTTGCTCTAAGACTTTCAGTTACTGAGAAGATGCCAATTTGTCTTGGTAAAGGCAGTTTTTTGCACCTGGGAGTTCTCCCTGATGCATGTTTTATGTGGCATCCATAACAGAACAGTCTTAACCCAGGGCTTTGGGGTGAAAGTCCCAGGTCTGTTCCTACAATACACTCTAACTATTCCCTGTTGTATGGAGAGAGAAGAAGAAAGAAAAGGGAAGGACTCCAGTATGTTCTTTGCCTATGAGGCCTATCCCCTTAGTCCTTGTGACTAAGATTCAGCACAGAAAACCCATCATTACTGCTGCTGGGACACAGTAGAACACAACGGTTCTAACCTAATGCTAAAGAATATAACAAGTTAGATCAACAATTGTCAGACATGTTAAACAACTACTGCATTTGGCTATGTTTGTGTCACCAAGACCCCATCTCTCCAGGCTTTTGAGAGGTTACTGGTGTCAGTAAAGACAAGGTTCTTTTCTCTCATCTTGCCAAGTACACCACTTGGGCACACACACACACACACACACACACACACACACACACACACACACACACACAC